CCCAGCTCCAACATCAACACCAAACCCAACATCAGCACCAATCCCAGTCCCAATCCCAGCTTTAAACCCAGCTCCAACCCCAACATTAGCACCAACCCCAGCTCGTACCCTGGTTTCAATCCCAGCTCCAATCCCAACCCCGGCTCCAACCCCAGCTCCAATCCCAATCCCAACATCAGCTCCAACCCCAACCCCAGCTTTAAACTCAGCTCCAACCTCAACATCAGCACCAACCCAAGCTCTAACTCCCGTTTCAATCCCAACACCAACCCCAGTTCCAATCCCAATACCAACACCAGCTTGAAGCCCAGCTCCAACCTCAGCTCTAACCCTTGTTCCAATCCCAACACCAACCCCAGCTCCGGCCCCAGCACTGTCCACCCTCAGAGCCCAGGACACCCTGGGCACTCAGCAGGACTTTAACTGCCCTGGGGACTCAGAGTGCCTCCAAACTGACTCAAGGAGCTTTGGAGTGGAGCTTAGCAGGGGATTCCTCCCCGAGAGGGTGGGCAGGCCCTGGCACAGAGAAGCTGTGGCTGCCCCTGGATCTCTGAGAATGTCCCAGACCAGGCTGGATGGGACTTGGAGCACTTTGGGATAATTTCCCTGGCAGGGAGTGGAATGAGATGATCTTGAGGTTCTTCCCAACCCAAACCAATCAGGCATTCTCTGATTTTTCAGCCCCTCTTCTGTGATGGCACCAACCCAAACCCATCTCTCTCACCAAACCCCACTGGCAGCAGGATCCTCCACGTGCAGTCCAGGTTGCTGGGGTAATTCCCCGGGAATCCTGGGCTCAGGAGCACTCCTTCCATCTCTTCTGCTGTTCCTCCACACTGGGCTGGAAGAACAACAGGGCTCATGGTCAGGATCCAGTCACAGGATCCCTGAGGGGTTTGTGTGGCTGAGGGCCACGGGAAATGAAGGAATTAAAGACTCAGCTGAGAAAGAGGAACCAGCACCAAGCTTCCAGGGCCACATCAGGAATGGATGTGCCTTTCTCCTGCCCTTGGGAGATGAAGACTCAGCCCAGGGATCCACCACAGAGGGAAAGCCAGATGTGAGCAGTGACAGAGGGGGTGGACGCCTGCTCTGCCCACAGACATTGCATCAAACCAGGCACCAGCACTTGCCTGACACCTTCACCAGCTCAAAGAATGACTGTGAAGAAGCTGAGTGATGTTATTCTGACCCCAGTTACAGCCTCTCCTTTCCCCTGCCAATCTCTGGGCAGTCTGTCACTGATAAATCCAGCACGGAGTGTTTGCTCGCTGCCTGCAGCCCGCTGCCAGCCACGACAGCACAAAAATATGTTTACAAAAGGCATCACATGAAATTGAAGCACTGACAGCACATCCTCACGCTTATCTGGATGACCTCCACGTGGTCCCAGCAGCAGCACCCATCTGAATCCAGCCAGGTGTTCTCTAACTCGCTGTGACAGCCAGGCACAGGCTCTTTGTCCAATATCTCATTAGCCCAGACCTGCTCCTAACGAGGTTTCTCCCAGAAGATTTCTCTTTCTTTTCCCTCCTAATGGCTCTTTAATAGAACTGCTGCTGAATTATTTAGGTGCCCAGCAGCCGGAGGAAGCGGGCCAGGAGAAAATCAAACCGTGCTTGGAGCAGGGGCTCTGGTGGGCACAGGGCAGAGCCCCAGCACTGTCACCCCCACAAAGGTGACACTCACTCCTCCAGGGGTGGCTCCAGATGTTTTTCTGCCTCTCTGCAGCTGCCTGGCCTTTCCCAAGGAGGGGATAAGACAGGCACAGCCAAAATCCTGCTGGGTTGGGAGGCTGGTGCTGATTCAAAGAACCAAACTTGTGGTTTGGCAGCTTTTGGGATCCTCCTCCATGCTGGGATCTCCCAGCTGAGCCCAAGGACTTCTGCTTCCCTTCAGAGCAGCTCCCAAGGGGATGGGCCCTTTAGCTCAGTCATTCTCCTGGAAATATCTCTCCATTTATTCCTGGCCTGCAGATCATCAGATAAAAGAACTGTTGGCTCTTATAATTACTTTAAAGCCAAATGATGTAAGCTGGAACAGCAGGAGCCCAAAATAACTGTTAACTAAAGCTATTAAATGCATAAATGTCTCTCTCAGAGCTGCAAAATGTGCAATATGAATATTAAACATCTACATTTGCTAAAAGCAAATGACTGAAAATAATTTTTAAAAACCTCCTGCAAGTTCCCTTCACCTCCAGGCCTCTTCCTCAGGGAAAATGGAATGTCCAGTTTTTTCCAGGCCTGAACATCTGAATAGATCTGAGGGTAAGCTGTGACCTGGAACAAGTGACCTGTGGACAGCAGAGTGGCCACAGCAAGCTGGGATCCTGTGAGAGACCAGGCCCCAGTGAAAGGAGCAGCTTTGGTGGTATCAAACACATTCCACAAAAATAAACCACGCTTCAGATGGAAAAAAAAAATAAATTCCTCAAGCCATAAAACCAGCCTGCATCCAGCACGAGGAAATTGGAGGTTTTCCCTTCTGAATGGGGGATAATTCTGTGTTTCACATTTTGTGCTAGAGCCACATCTGTAACATCCAAAACAAAGCACTCCAGGCAGCCCACGGGGACTTCTCGGGCACAATTTCCCTGGCAACCCAATGTTTTCCCCACACTTGCAGAACCAACCTGAATTTCTCTAAATCAGCTCCTTAGCCTTGTTTTTTTAGGTTTTTATTTTAGGGAAGTGTTATAAATATCAGCCAGGTAGGAAGAAGTTGATTCCTCACCAATGCAGAGGGGTGGAGGGTAATTCCAGCGGCGCACCGTGCCCGGCATGCAGGAGATGTGAGAGTGGCCCTGCAGGGATGGAAAACAAAACAGAGGTTTGGGAGGTGGATGGAAAACAAAGGGAGAGCCTTTCCCTGTCCTGGAAGGAAAAAATTCCCTGCAAGATGGATCTGATCCAGAGGGAGATGCCTGTTGCATGTGGGGTACCAGAAAAAGGGATGCCCTAAAGAATGTAGGAATAAAACAACTGGATTTGGAGATTATCTTTCACACTTGGGGATTATCTCTGCAGATAATATTAGTGTGGGAGGTCATCTAAAGGCTGGTCATTATTGGAGGAAGATATGGAAAGATGTGCATAAAATGCCCAGTCCTCTAAGGGGGGTGAATACAGTTGTACAAATTTAGCAAAATAGCATAATTGACAAAAATAATCATAAATAGTGAGGTAATTAAATCACCTCTGAATCCTCTCCCACAGACAGGGACTAAACTTTGTGGATGGAAATGTGTCTCCAAGAGCTGGTTTCAACCTTGGAAGGGCCAAGGAAGGACAGGATCCACCTTGGGCAGCACAAAGCTGGAGATGGACCCAGGATGGATCCAAGATGGACCCTGAGTCACAATTTTTCACACTTTTATAAATTTTGGTCCATTTCCATATGGGGTTAACTGTCCAATTCCAGCTCCAGGTTGTGCAGTCCCACCCTCCCAGGTTGCTCCCCTCCATTCCCTGCTGTTTGCACTTTTGGGGGTTGAGGCTGCAGCGGTGTCCTTGGTTCTGGGGCTGGAAATTCATTGTTCTGTGTGCTTGAGGAGAGGAAAAGGATTGTTCTGTGGGACTGAGCTGTGAGGAGACCTTGCTAAAACACTTCATAAGGAGTTCAGAGCGCCACTGTGAGGCAGTGCAGGGTCTGGAGAAGCTGGGGCTGGGGCTGGGCTGTACCTGCAGGGCGTAGCCCGGCTCGCACTGGAAGGACACCACGTCGTTCACCAGGTAGCGCTCGCCGATCTTCAGCCCATTGCCGGGAACTGCGGGCTCGGGGCAGCTGGAGAGACCCACGGCTGTGGGGAGAAGGGAGCTCAGGGAGTGGGGATGGGGCTGGGCTGGGGGCTGCAGGGATGGGAACATGCTTTGTGTTCTATCCTGCTCCTGTTTGCCATCCGCCACCACAGACTGGGTGGGGAAATTCTGTTTATTATGGATTCTCCA